GTTGTGCACATGTACCCTAGAACTTAAAGTATAAAAAAATTTTTTTTTTAAAAAATAAGACCACAATATAAGTATTTTTATAATGGCTTTTTTTACTACTGTATTCATACAGTATTAACGTCTCTCCAGGGATTCAGCCTGGACAGGCAAGGACAAATATAGGGTCACGATGGGAAGGTTAACTAAAGGATCATGAGGCTGCTGAAAGAGGATGAGACTCAGAGCATGTGGAAATTTAGGAGCAGAGGATGTTTTCTGTCCCTCTAGACTTTTACCCCAAGCCCCATAGAGGAGAGGGACTAGTATTTGAGTGAATGAGTGGAGATAACTGAGCCCTTGTGTCTGAGGATCTCCAACAACATGGACTATTGAGCAGAGCAAGTTGCTGCTCCTGCTCAGGGACTCCCAGTCCCTGGAGGGTGGCAAGAGGGTGGCATGACAGGACTGAACAAAGCAAGGTGGTGCTTCCACATTCACTTCTGCACTCAGCATATTCTATGACTTCCCTGCTAGGGGTGAGCAGGTACAAAAGTCAAGCAATCCTGGTGGCCAGTTGCCTGAAATTACCATAATCGAAATCTGGGGGGCATGTAGGAGCCTGTGGGGGAGCATGGGAAGGACCTGCTCCACCCACCCTAAACCAAGATGTATGCACATTAACCCCAGATTCCCACATGATGCTGCTGTGACCCTTCTTAGTCACTTTCTTTCACTCTGTGTCTTCCTCCTACATGGCTTTCTGCCCAACTCCCACTAGGCAGGCTTAACACAAAACCTCCTTTGTGCTTAACACAAAACCTCCTTTGATCTTTGGGGATGCTTTAGGCAAACACCTGTTAAGTGTTGGCTCAGTAGGCCTAGACCTTGCGCCTCCATGGCCTGGAGGCCTTGCAGGGACTGGGCCCCCATCCCTTAGGCACAGAATCATCATTCAGAGGACCGACACATCCATGCTTCTTCCTGTCTGGGCTTTCTGCATCCTTTCAGAAGTGGAAACATTATGCTAAATGCTGGGGTCCTGTCTGAGGAAGAAAGTCCTGCCACCTCCTCCTTCTGATGATAGGATGATGGGTAATCCTGGATCTCCTTAGGAACCAGGGGCATCCCAACTGTCCCTCACAACATGTCATAAAGAAGTCATTTCACTTCTTGCCCTTTCTTTAGCTCTTGGCTCCTCTGTGGTAGGTTGGAAGCAGAATGCAAAAGTGCCACCCTCTGAGGGATATCAGGTGGCCAAAGCAGAGGTCCCTCCCAACTGTTCAGGGCAGCCTCTTTGTCTTTCTGCTTCCCAGTCCACTCCTCCCACTCATATAGACTCCCTGGTCCCTTACCTCACTGAGCACTAGGAAGCCACCCCTGCCCTGTTTCTCTATCTGCAGCCCCATGCTCTTGCTCAGGCTGCATGAATTTAGAGCTTTCTCTGTGATCTCTCCTGCTGGTGCAATGTTCCAAGAGCACCTGCTGCATAGATATCAGCAGTAGGCTTTGACCACCTTTCCCTGCCCACCTGCACTCTCACACTGCCACCAACTGCTTGGGCCCTAATAGTAACTTTCAGAATCTCTCTCCACACCCAGCTTTCTGGCTTTGGTTCTCCATACCATTCCCCCTACCCATAGCCATAGTCCCTTCCTAGCTCCTCACTTGTCCCTCTTGGTCTGTGCCCACACTCCCTTATATGTGGAGGAATTATTTCTTCTTCTAATCCATTATATCCTCCATCACTAACTCTACTTCTCTCTGCCACAGGAAAAATGTCTGCTTTTAGTAAAAGCCAGCTCCTTGACTTGGGTGCGTGCCCCCCACTTCTTCACTTCCACACAACAACATTCTTCCAGAAATTCTCCCCTTGCTGTCTTGCTTATCCCTCTTGACTGGATCTTTTCTATCATCATCCAGCCATCCAACAGACTACATCTCCTGTCTTTAAAAAAAAAAAAAAAACTCATTCTGGATCCCACTCTCCCCTCCTGCACCTCTATGAAACAAAAGCCCTTGAAAGAGTTGATTTCGCTTGCTGTCACCAACTGTTCTTCTTCTATTATCTCTTGAATCCACTCCAGTCGTGTCCATTCCTCCATTACTCACCTGAGGCTATTCTCAGGGTCATTAGTGATCTCTATGTTGCTAAATCTAATGGTCAACTATAAGTCCTCATATTAATTGACTGATTGGCAACTTGTCATTCCATTGGTCACCTTCTCCTTGAAACACTTTTGTTTCTTGGCTTCCAGTATGCTGCTCTTCTAGCTTTCCTTCTGTCTTGCTGGCTGCTGTGTCTCAGTCTCCTCTGCCTACCGGTTCTTCCTCCTCTTCTCAATCTTTTAACATTAAAGAGTCCCAAAGACCAGTCCTTAGATCTCTTTCATTTAAGCAACATACATTCATCTCAAACAATACAAATGTGAACTCCTGACTCCCCTTCTCCCACCATCACCCAGTAACACCAAACCTACTCCAATGTCAGTATTTCCCACATCAATTAATGGCAACTTCGTCCTGCCAGTTGTTCAGGGCAAAAACTTTGGTGCCATCCTTGACATTTTTTTTCTCTAATTGTCCACATCCAATCTATCAGTAAATCCTATTGTCTACCTTCAAAATGAACCCAGCGTCTAAATGCCTGTAATCTCCTCTGCTGCTGTAATTACTGAAGTAACCTTAAAACTAAATCTCCCTGCTTCTACTCTAATCTATACCCCCAATGCTCTATTTTTAGCACCATGACCTAAGTGATCCTTTTAAGATATAAATCAGATCTAAGCAGACCCCCTAATAGCTCCCCAATTTACTCAAAGTAAGAGCTAGCTTCCTTGCTGGCTTCCTACCAGGCCTTATACCATGTGGCCCCTTACCACTCTGGAGTCCTCCTCTACCACTTTCTCCCTTTATTCCTTTATTACTCTGCTTTAGGTTCACTGGCTTCCTTGTTCCTTCTGACAGACTGGGCAATCGCCAACCTCCAGGCATCTGCATTAGCTATAATTTCTGGCCGGAATGCTCTTCCTCATTTACCCACGTGACTTACTCTTATCACCCTCAAGTCCTTGCTGACATGTTAATTTCCTAGTGAGACCTGCCCTGAGCTCCTTATTTAAAACTATACCCCCATTCAAGTCTTCTCTAATCCCATTACCCTGATTTTTTACATATATCTGGTCACCTTCTATATACTATGTTTTTAATTTATACTTCTTTTCTCTTCCTCCCAGGCATGCTCCCGTCGTAAGCTCCTTGAGAGAGCAGATTTTTTTTCCCTCTTATGTTCACTGCTGTATTCCCGGTGCCTATAAAAGTGCCTGGCATATAATAGGTGCTCAATATTTATTGAAGGAATGAAGAATGGGTGAATGAATGCCATTCATTCTCCAGCTTGGCAACCTCATTCTGATCCCTTAAACATTTTACTGTGTTTTTTAAAATTATTATACAGGGGTTTCTCCAGTGAGTCACTATTCTCTGACATGGCATGCTGTTGTTTGACACCATGCCTCTGTTCGTGTTGTTCTCTCAGGCTGGGGAAGCCTCTCTACTCCCTGCCTCCTTCCCAACTAACGCCTGCTCATCCTTTGGAACTCAACCTACATATCATCTCTTCTAGGAAATTTTCCATGAACATCCCCCAAAACTAGATTAAGTGCCCTCCTATGTACTTTCATCTTATTGCTTCTAATGACTTTTTATATGACTGTGTATCCCAGAGTTCATGAGCTTTATGAGACAAGGCCTGTGTATTGTTCACTGTTGTCTCTGTAGTGCCTGGCACAGTGCCCGACACACAGCAAGTACTTGAATATTTGAATTATTGAATGCAAGACTCAGCCTAAAGTTGTTTTTATTTTGACCCTTTTAGGGATCTCTTCATCAACTAGTCTTCATTCTAGGCAGCATTCATTCCATGCAAATGAAAGGCAATGGAGGTTGGAACAGGCAACAGGACTAGAGTGGGCTCTCAGGTGGGTTACCCTTAAAGATCTCAATAACAACAGGGAAAAGACAGGGAGATTCTATCATCTGGTTTTGACATCTGTCATATTAGCTGTGTGCTTCTGCTAAACATTCCTGAAGGAAGGTGCACCATGGCACTCTAAAGGACCTTCCCTGCAGGTTGTGAGCATATACTGTATAGAAGTCATCAATGAATTTTGCCTGTGGGCCAAAAATGCATTAGATTCCTGGCCACTGTTTCTTATACTATCGTCATGTCCATGTTGATCCTCTGAACCCAACACACCATGGGACAATAGAATTCAAGCCTGACCTTCACCTTCAATGCACCTAAAACAAGGGCCTTTCTTCTCTGTTCAAGTCCCTTTATCCACATTCTACGGTGGGACTGGGAGGAGTCATGTGGAATGCTGACCCATCTGAAATAAAATGTGATTTAAGCTTCTATACCACATAAGAAATACTTTTTAGGTCCTTTACTCTTTCTCTGACTATCATATACTACACTGAAAATGAGGAGGCACAAACAGGTGGCTCTTTGCTTAAAGGTACAAAGTATATTTGGAGAATGCCCTGCTTCACCTGCATGTTAATGGAAATGGCAATGAAAGCCTTTTTCAGGGGGATGCAGAGCTTCAGGAACCTATGAACTCCTTTTTCTTGTAATGGGTATTCTTGCATAAACCAGTGCCTTCTGCTGAGGTGAGTTGAGACCTGGGATAGATTTCCTGGTTGAGTGGCACAAGTCATTTGAGGACAGAGTTTGGAACATTTGTAGGAGTGGCACAGGACCCAGGATTGGCTGGACTGAAGGGAGTGTTGCTAAAGCAGATTATTTAGGCACTGGGGGGCATCAGAGAAGATCAGGCCTTCCTCCTCAGTAGAAGGAGGCTGAGCCTCAGGGTCCTCTGTTGTCTTCTCTGTTGTAGCTCCCCACACATGATATTTGGTGACAGCTGGACTCTTCTCAACGTTTTTTGTCCTGTCTTGGGTCACTGTCTCAGCCTTAGAAAGGAGAATGGATTCCTCATGCCTTCGATCTTTCATTTCAGGGTTAATCCAGTGCAGAAACAGCTTCATCTTGTTATCCAAGCCAACTTCTGGAGCTTCTGGAAGGATGATGCTCTTGTGAGTATGGACTCCCCTTACCAGACCCTGCAACTCTTATTCCTAGAAAGTGTGACCCTGCAAATTTTGACCCTGCAAATGTTGCCCTGTAAAACATGGCCCTGAACCATTTGACCCTGAAAACTTTGAATCTGAAAAAAATTTACCCCTTCAAATACTGTACTTGCAAAATTTCGGCCCAGCAATTAATGGCCCAGTAAATTGGCCCTTTAAGCTCTGGGCACTCCAGGTTTGGCATTCTCAGAAATCCTTGTTTGGATGAGGTTATTCAGCTTACTCTAACAGCTTTGCAAATTATTCTTATCTGGTCTTTTGCCCCAGGTAATCCTGGAGGATGCTCTTGGAACTCAAGGTTAGGGAGAAGCTGGTGAAGGAGCAATGGAAATGGGACTCTGCAGATCCAGACAGATCCTTGCTAGTCCCTGCTCAAGGCAACCATCTTAGCTAGACTAAAGTTTTACCTGAGAAAGATCCTGGAGATATATTTGGCAAATTGTGAGCTCTGGAGTTCTGCTTAGATGTGCCCCGTTCGCCCCTGAACCTTGGCAGAAAGGGTGCTCTCTCTGGCTGGGGAGAGCTCCAATGCTGTCCAGATACCCCCTTCTCTGTGATTCCCAGCTGCTTTGAACATCATCGAATGTCACTGGGTTGTCTGTTTTCTCTGCCGAAGTAGGGACTTGTCCTCACTTTTGCAAAGACCTGGTCTAAGAGGTTCAGGGCCCTCCAGGCTGGGTTGTTGACTCCAGCCTCCAGCTGAACAGAAAGTACCTGGGCCTCTGTCGTGCCCCCACTGGGTGTGAGATCCCAGAATCCCAGTAGGCATGGGGTACCGCTCAGGAACTTGATCACCTGTAGCTCTGCTGCACTGTCTTTGGTTCAACTGCAAGCTGTTCTTTCAGGCCAACCCATTCTGGATCTGGGGCACATGGGATGCCTGGTGGGATATGGAGTTTCTGGAGCAATGTTTTCCCTTGGTTTAGCAACCTTTAGACTCCTAAAGGATCCCTGAGTGGAGATTCTTTGGGATGGTCAAAATTTGTTCCCTGAATTCCCTTGTCTTTATGGGACTTCCCAAATGTATCTCGGGGAATTTATTTTTCAGGTAAAAATTTAGTTTGGCCAAGATGGGTGCCTTGAGTGATTAGGGCCTGTGAGGATCTGTCTGCCTCTCTAAGCAGTACCATCTCCATCAGCTTGTATTTTAGCCCAGAACACTTGTACATTATCAACACAAGCCTCATTGGTGTTTTGAAAGCATGGCCCAGGACTTACACATTGCTGTTTGGATGAGACTGAGTCAGAGGCTCTGATGGGCTCAATCTGTGATTGTGGATTCATGAGTGAGTGCCTGGGCCACAGCCCTGGAAAGAGCCACATAATAGAGAGCAGGCAGCCCTGACAGAAAGGCCAAAACTTGTCTCAAGTTTCTCAGTGGCTTCCTGGTACAGGGTCTGAGCAGCTCAGAATCATCAGTAACAGCATCTGGTAAGGCCTGTTGCTGCTGATCAAGGGCTGTCAATATTCTAGTGTCCCTTCCTGATCTGTGTAGGGGCTGATATGTGTCACTTCCAGGTCCAGGTGTTTGCTTTTCAGAGGACAGGGGCACCAAGTTGCTGCCCAGGCCCTTGGAATACTGCAAGGCGTATTCCAGTGACTTGTAGTCCCAACAATGGCAGATGTGGGCAGGGACAATGCCCTAGCAGATCTTCCCATATTTGTAATCTATGTGGCTCTGCAACATGACCTTGGCCTGAGGAAACAATTGCAGACTGGCCCTCCTGCTACAGTGGATTAGAGCAGGCCACTATTCCCACTGGCCTCTGGTGCTGCATGTTGGGAAGACCCACATAGGTCAGGGTTGTGCTGCTCCAGGGCAGGGATTATTGGTCATCAGGTCACAGGAGGAACTGGATAGACTGCTGGATCTTTTGGATCAGGTCCCAGCAATGGCAAATCAACCCTCTGTTTCAATTGCTCCTGGAGGTAGAATTCCAGTAGCCTCTGGGCATGGTCTAGGAGAATGCTACCTCCATCTTGAGGACTAAAATGGACTTCACCAATCAAAGAGAGTCCTGGATCTAGTGGGAAAGGCTGCAACATGTCTCAGGGCTTACATTGTATTATTTCCTGGATCTACAGAGATTTCTGGACAACAGCTGGCAAACTCCACTGAAGCTGGAGCTGCCTCTACAGCAGGTGCCACTCCAAGGCTTTCACTTAGCCTAAGTCAGATACAGGACATTGATCTGGGTTTGTCCATGGTCAGATGGAGAATGTGGGGGAAAAGATGGGGAAGGACGGGGGATTTTAATTAGTACAGAGGTGAAGGAGAAATCATTGAAGAGAAAAGGCCAAGGGCTCCCCTGTTTTGGAGATCTCTAAAGGCAGACCAGGGATCTCTAAAGGCAGACAGTAATGTGCAGAAAAGAGAAACCACAGTAAGGTAGCTACAGGTGTGGTACACTGAGGCCTCAGTGCATCCCCCAGGCAATGGACAGAGGCCACTTAGAAGCTGAAAGAGGGGAGAGGGTGGAGCTAGAGCCATGGGGGTTGGGATTTGTTCACAGTAATTTTTCTGCTCTGAGTCCATGGTGGATCCTTCAAAAACCCTGAAAGTTTAGGTGGACCAGCTAACCTCCCATGAAACCCAGAGTCAAGGAGATGGAAGCTCATCTGTTCAACAGAAGCCTTAGAGATAGCATTCAGGGTGAAAGAAATGGCTGTTTGTCTGTTTTCCATCCTTTGGAAAATTAGAAGTGGTGTGGTATAAGCTGCCACAGGAACTCCTCCACAGATCTTGGGAGACCTCAAATGTGGGAATATGTGAAACAATATCCTTTTCTTTTTTTCTTTTTTCTTTTTCTTTTTTTTTTTTTTTTTGAGGCGGAGTCTCGCTCTGTCACCCAGGCTGGAGTGTAGTGGCACGATCTCGACTCACTGCAAGCTCCGCCTCCCGGGTTCATGCCATTCTCCTGCCTCAGCCTCTCGAGTAGCTGGGACTACAGGCACCCACCACCACGCCCGGCTAATTTCTTTTTGTATATTTAGTAGAGATGGGGTTTCACTGTGTTAGCGAGAATGGTCTCAATCTCCTGACCTCGTGATCTGCCCGCCTCGGCCTCCCAAAGTGCTGGCATTACAGGCATGAGCTACCATGCCTGGCCAACAATATCCTTGTACTTGGAGATTCCTCAGGACTTTTTGGACATTGCAATAGCAATTGAAAGGAATGTGGGGTCATAGGGTGTTGTTTTAGGTTTGGGAGCTCTGGGTTCAGGGAAAGAAAGGGAATCTAGTATTCAAGGGCTGCTGACCTTGGTTCTCCAGGACAAATTTGGAGTTGTTTTTCTTCCTCTCCTGCTGGCTCAGAGGAATTCCAGGCTTCTCAAAGTTTGAAGACAGAGATCCCATGACCTGGGACACAGCTGGGACTTGCGATCTCTGTCCTCGCTGAAAGTGATCAGCCCAGGAATCTTGGACGCTGTCTGCACCAGCTGACTGGGCAGCTGACTGGGTTAAAGATTTCTGATCCATTAATTGTGACAGTGTTGGAGTTACAGATGCCAGTGAAAACTCTTTGGATTTCTGGGAACCCGGATCCTGACTATGCTCAAAAGACACATTAGACGTAGACAAAGCCTCTAGGCCAGAGGAGCCCTGTGATGGCCCCTGTGAAGTCAGGGAGATCTGGTTGTTCTCACCCGCCAGCAATTGCTGAATCTCCAGAGCCATAACATTGCAAATTTGGCAGCAGGGATCTGCACACAGAATTCGCCGCACACTTCCTTCCTGAGGAAGCCAGCCCTGGCTGGGAAGAGAAACATGACAAACATTAATGATGGAGTGACCTCTGCCTTCTCGGAATAGTGTAGGCCGGGGTTGGCATTGTCCTTTCCCAGTCCTGAAAATCCTGGGGCCTACACTCTCTTGGTGTCTACCTCTCTGCTTTTCTTTCTAAGAAAATGCCATTTGGAGGCCAGACACAGTGGCTCACGCCTGTAATCCTAGCACTTTGGGAGGCTGAGGCAGGTGGATCACCTGAGGTCAGGAGTTCAAGATCAGCCTGGTCAGCATGGTGAAACCCCATCTCTACTAAAAATACAAAAATTAGCCAGGCATGGTGGCGCTACTACTACTAGTAGCAGGTGGCTCCCTGCTACTCGGGAGGCGGAGGTAGGAGAATCGCTTGAACCCAGGAGACAGAGCTTGCAGTGAGCTGAGATTGTGCCATTGTACTCCAGCCTGGTCAACAAGAGTGAAACACTGTCTCAGAAAAAAGAAAAAAGAAAATAAAAAGAAAAAGCCATTTGACAAGGTGGGCTGGGCTGACAGTCTGGAGCTTGTTGGGCAAGGCTTCAGACAACCATGGAATGGCATGGCCCTCAGAGAAGGCTGGGAGCTGCGGTCAGTTCTCTGTTGACCGTGTTGAAAAGCTGAACTGGGAGAATGGAGCCAAGTGGTTAGCTGATGGGGCATCACCAGTTAGAACATGGATCAGTCTCATTTGGGGCTAAGAAACCCAAAGCCTGGTATTTGGGCTTGAAGTTCATGTAGAACCTCTGCATTCTGCGGGCTATTTGGTATCCCTGCTGATATACCCAACATCTTTTGGGACTCAATCCTGTTCTCTAGAAATCTTAAGAAATGGTTAAGATGATAGGCTGCCATCTGAGGGCTATCTCCCTACTGACAGAGCCAGTGGAGGTAATGTCAGCAGAGTCCAGTTAGACTCAGAGGAGAGAGAATAAAGAATAAGACAGGGATGACTTCTTTATGCAAAATCCATTCCTCTTGACTGAATAGCTTGTCTCGTGGCTGAATGCAACCCCGTGTAGAGTCTTTTATGAATTATACACTAGTACCAGCCTGAATTCTAGAACTACTGTGACCCTAGCCCAAAGCAGAATTGGGTGACCTTCCCTCCTGAGCTGTCTGGCCCAGCCCCCATGACCTGGCAACTCTATCAACTAGCGAACCAGCCTCCACTGTGTATGTCTCCTTCCCATCCATTATCCGTCTTCTCATCTCTACCCCAAGCCAAGCTGAGAAATGATCACAAACCAGACTAGCAGCTGGGAGACTGCAAAGAACAAGAGATTACCTTTTCATGAGAAAGAGCAGCTTCCCCAACTTCTTGGCTTCTTCCTGGGAAGTTCTCCTAGCTGAGGAAACAGAAGATAGTGTTATGTGGAACTGAAGAGGATTCAGGAACATCCTATAAGAAGTTGAAGGCCTTTTAATGAGAGGATACTGAAAACCCCAAGAGTCAGAACACTGTCACATCTGTGTACAACTTAACCATTTACAATGTGTTGTTCTGTACCGCATCTCATTTGTTCTTCACCATCACACTGGGAGTGAGGAAGGATCATCACATGCCCATTTTATGGAGAACAAGACTGAGAGTTGAAGTGAGTTCCACAGGTTTGTAAAACTAGTAAATGACAGAGTTGAGGACTTATGCCCTACTTCTTCATTCTTTATTCTCAGGAAGATAAGATAGATAATTTTTTTTAATGTCCCTAGGCTCTGATTTTCCACCCAAGGAAGTCTTCCATGAGAAATTGTCACTGAGGGGGTACTAGAGTCTGCAGTGGTTAGAGCACCTGGCTCTTAGTACCAGGGGTCATACAGGGTCAGGATCCGTGGGAACCTCACCCACAGTAGAAGCGAATCAGAGGAGAGACTGGGACTTTACCTCTTGATGTTCTATTTCCAGACTTTTGTTGGACTCTTCGGTGACACTTAAAGACAAAAACATTAGAATGTAAAGCTGCTACACCACTTTTTCCCATATCTAAAATGAAACAAAACTCATAAACATTTCCCAGTCTTTTTCTGTGTTCCAATTTTATATACTCGTCTTTCCTTTCTGTATTCTTTTTCACCCCAAGAGTTTCCTTGTTTGCTTATTTCTGACTCCCTTTCAGGCTCTTCCATACTCCATGCCTCCTGCCCTCATTCCTTTCATAAGTTCTGTGGGGACTTTAGGATGAGATGGGAGGAAAAGTGGAACAGATTAAAGGATGGGTGGGTCTAGAAGCCAAAGGAGTTCAGCCGTCAAATGGCCCTAAATAGCCGCCAACCAGAATAATCACCCGAATTGGGAGCTCTTCTGGTGTCCAGTGAGGAAATCCCCTTAAAAAAGCAAGGGCTAACAGGAACAAGATAAAGCTGGGGGATAAAATCTTGTTTGAGGCACATCAATTTAGCCATGGTCATAGTGTTTCCCTACCCGGCAACAGCTCCTGTTAGGTCCCAACCTTAATTTTTGGCGGCTCTTTTTCACTTGCCAAATAATTAATGCAATAATGCAGATGGATCCATAGGTGTATAAGGGATATCCAACATCCCACAAAACAAAGGTAGGGCTCAACATGATCTAAACCTCACTAGCCATCCTTCTCCCTAGTCTTTCACTGTCTTGGAACCTAATACCTCCAGATTCTA